AATTCAATAAAAACTTGGTAACTTTTCCCCCTTAACGCTTATATTTTTAAACATTTTCTGTCAATATTACCCGAAAAGGTACATTTATAAAAAAAAAAATATAAAAAAAATCCTGACGTAAAGTTTATCTGAACCTGTATGCTAATTGTATAAGTTAAGAAATTCCTACTCGCACGGCTATTCGAGATGGCACTTGTATTTGGTTTAAAAGAGCATTCTTAATGATAGGCGTATTTATCATGATTGTTTCTGCTGTAGTTTTTTTTCTTCCCTCATATTAGAAGTAAGATCGATAATGATATGATTCAATCGAGTACGTAACTTCTAATTCGTCAGCATTTGGTATGGAATATCTGGTCGATATCTAAAGAATCTTTCGGGACGTTAACAAGAATCTGGCTCATCGATTATCGATGGTATCCTCCGAGAAAACATTTAACCCATTTTTTTAACAATTACACGGCTCTTTTTGCCAAACAATTATTTGACCAGTGATAGAGAGACGCGTGAATATATTTGATACGATTCGTTTCTACAAATTTCTTGAACATCTCCTTAAAATATGGAGATCCATTATCACTCTCTATTGTATCTGGGACACCTTCATTTGAGAAACACTCACACAACTTGGCCACTGACATTTATTCGGTAAGTTTATTTGGTAAACGTCTACGCATTTGGAATCTTCTTTGTAGTGATTATGGTTCTCCACGAGTTCCTCTTTTTTGTAATGTTTTTTCATTGATTTTTTTTCATCCCAAGCAAGGAGGGAGTGCCACTAGCGCAAAGAGCGTTACAGAGAGTGAAAGTGAGAGAAAACACTGGGTATGGGGAGGGATGAGGCAAAGATAAAAGATGAATGGGGATCAAGGCAACAGAAGATGGCGATTGACATTTCATTTAATTTTTTAAGATTATAGTTATCAGGGTAAGTAAGGAAGAGGAAGAGAGTTCCACTATCGGGAAGGGCGAGAAAAGAAATTGTTGGAGTAGAAGTGGCTGTTAAATTTAACTATTTCAACAGTAAAAGGGTGGGACCTAGATACCAATCTAGTAGAACGCATGTAGTCCGGGTACCATGGAAAAAAAACTCTTCAGAGCAGTTGCCATGAAAATATTTATAGAAAAGAAAGATTTTGGATTTTGTCGAGAACCTCGAGATGAACAGCAGGAGCACCAAACCAGATATGGCAACGGTATTCAATGTACAGACGAATGGAAGATTTGTAAATGTGCAAGATGGACTCTGACGAAAAAAACCTTCTGGCACGACACAGTGAACCAACTTTCCTTGCAGTAGATACAGCTATTGATTCAATGTAGTTGTTCCACCTCAAGTAAGTTGAGAACGTGAGTCCAAGAAGGCTCAGTGAGACGCTCTCACAGAATCAAGCATCAATTATGCTGATGATGGGCATAGTTTGTCTGTGTGTTAGCCTTTTTAACATCCCTCCCATTCCCCATTCTGCCATTTATTCACATAAGCTGGTCAGATACATGACCCGCTGTTTTTTGCCTTCGATATGTCCTGTGAGTAAAAAATCTCCGAGACTTCCATCCTTATTATGTGTCCAAGAAATTTCAGCTCTTTCTGATTCTAAATATAAATATCCTTTTTGTTTCCATTTTCTTTTAAAATTCTTCTTTGTTTACATCTCTGTTCATAGTTTACTCAGTATCCGTCTGTAGGACCACATTGCTGTTAACTCAAGTCTCCTCTTCGTCTGTGAGGAAAGTATCCAACGACGAGAATTCAAACTCAAATTCAGAGCCGCTATCCATTACACCAGCTGTACATACGGCTTACACGTTGGAGTTGTTGTGATGCATCACGTGCAATTGATAATCATCTCGCATGAGGTTAGAGGACAGAGACACTTTGTGGACTTCTTGTGACACAAGAACTTTTGAAGCGGCAATTTTTTTTTTCTTCTAAGGTTTCAAAATATTTTCTTCTTTATGACATGGTCGTCCTGGGTATGATGATAAACTACATCTGGCAGCAAGACCTCTGATTGGGAGATTAGAGGATTTTAACAGAGTGAAACTACCTCTTTGTTTTTGTCCCCAGGTCCACCCTAAACCGGGTTGATAGCGCCTGTTAGGGCCCCAGCTATGGGCAAATAGTGAATAGTAATCATGTCTACACAAACATGTATATGCACAAGAGCTGAGTATTATCTACCATGTATTAAATTGCGAAAGCAGAATAACGTATATCATATTTTTATTACTTCAAAGCTCCCAAGAAAATTAAATTTCGACATTAAGTGACCCATAAATGAGTTGATGTGCCGTTAAACAAACAAATCAATTAATCAATCTTTCACAGGATCGTGCCATACAAGAATCTGACGAATCAACTAAGTAACGGAAATACTGTGAGTACGTCTGGTGAAATCTTGTGGATTTCTAACGCTACGCCTAGGGTTATGTTTGATGGCATTTGACATAACTTCGGTCTTAAGTTTCATCATATCTCTGTCTGCGACCTCTGTTGCTACTGTTATTTCCTGGGATTGGTTAAATGTTAGCGGCGTTGACTTTAATCGTAACTGACATCGACAAACCAGTCTATCCAACATTTCCGACAAGGTTTCCACACATTCGTAATGTTCAGACTGCTTATGTAATTCTGCTATATAGCTAGAAATAATTTATACTATTTATACGCAGACTATTGACCTCATCTTTGTTATCGCAACGTTTCGGCCATTGCGCCTTCCCACCTTCATCAGAGATTCAAAAAGAAATTAATAATAGTTTTACAAAATTGAAGAAATAACTTACTGAAGTGAAAACGTTGCATAATCACAGAAGGTTTTTCATTTTGGTGTCTGACTATTAAATCCCACAGAGCTGGAAAAGCAGTTGCAGCTGGTTGATCTATTATAGATTTTCCGTATTAGGAAAGTCCGGACACTACTTTAGAAGACAACAACACGCTGTTTTCTGTCTTAACGATGACATTTGCAACAATGAAAAACAGCATCGAAGGGTCTTGATCGTTTGTACAATCAACGTTTGCAATGCTCAACTCCTCCATCCTGCTAAATCGCGCCATTTTTGTCTAAAAACGCACAACACGCACACACCAAAGTGGGGAATTGTACAGTGAAATACACAGCCGCAGAATGTCAAAAACCACTTTTCTTACCTAAACTAAAAGAGAGTAAAATGTATTCTCAGGAGATGGACAAGTTACTGATGATAGAACATAATTTTTAATGTCAAAATTTTTAACATAAAAAATAAAAAGAATTTTTTTTTAAATCATTTCATCCCAAGCAAGGCAATAAAGCCACTAAGAGGCAAAGTGTTATTAAATGTTAGAGAATGTGAGAGAGAAAACATTATCAAGACAACGATAAAAGAACATTGATTCAGAAAACAGAACAATTGACATTGAATTTTAATTTTTGAAGTTCATAATTGACCGGAAATCAAGAAGTCGGAAGAGACTTCCACAAGAGAGAGGTGCGATAAAGAGACTGTTAAGCATAGAACTTACGGTTACATCGAGCTATTTTAGATGTAAAATAATGAGATTTTCCTGCCAATCTATTATTTCTTTTAAATTCATAAAGTCTTGGTACAATAGAGTAAATTTCATCAGGACTATTACCATGAAAGTATTTATAGAACATTCACAGGGAAGCTACGTTAGGGCGGTGTGAAAGTGACTGCATCCTAGACGTCAGATCAGGACCAATAAATATATTATTTATTTGTAGTTTTATTAACTATTTTATTAATTATTACCTAATAAATTCAGCTTAATTGATCACAGAATTACATGTGTGGAGGTTACCCCCGTTATGTGGTACTGTATGAGGACTATAAAAGATCGGGTTAACTCTCTCTCTCTCTCTCTTTCTCTCTCTCTCTCTCTCTCTCTCTCTCTCTCTCTCTCTCTCTCTCTCTCTCTCTGAAATGTAGCAACAACAACATGAGCACACACACACACACACTTTTAACTGCAAAACCTTAAATGTTTTTCTTGTTTTCAGTTATCTGTGGACGCACTTGTATGTTTTTTTGTTTGTTTGTTTGTTTGTTTTTTGTTTTTATTGGGTTATATAAAATGAATATGTTACATTTCCTCTCTGTCTACACATTTTAAAGAAGGAAGATGGTGTCGCAACAATCAGTACAGCCATACCGGATGTAGATAGTTCAACAGCCAGCCGCAGACTGAACCACATTCGCTTCTATGCATTACTTCTGTTTTAGATTCGATAAAAATATCTTCAAGGATAATTCTTTCTCCCGCACAGATCAAAAAGAGTTTTCAGGATTTTCATTTATCCAGTCTTGTAACCAGGTCGGTCACCATTTATTGCGATATGAGATAATCTTTAAAATTCATATTTAAAAAGAAAAGAAAGACAAATAGCAGCAAGTCTTCAACCACAGCAGCAGAAATCAAAACATAACAGCCAGCAGAAGCAGTTGCAACCTAACCAGCAGCTAAGGTTAGATTTAAGTCTCCATGTTTACTACAGCACACTTGTCCTCGTGGGTAAAACCGTTGGTTTGTGGATTTGGTGACGCAGTGGTTGTGAGTTTAATCCCTGGGTCAGGCAGTGTGTACTTGCACTCACTCGGTCGAACTGAATAGTACTAAATAAAAATAAAATAATACCTAGACATGAGTAGTGGAATGATAACAGTATACCTCGGTAGGGTTCAGTTCAGAATTCCCTGTAAGTTACCCAGATCGATATACACCCGAGGAAGGCAACCACAACAACGAAACGTTGTGATAACAACAACAAAGAATAGAATGTGTGTAAATAAAGCTCCTGAATTATCTGTCTCGCAAATAATATTTACGGCCGCATGTGAGTCAAGGTAAATAATGATACGCAGTGTAAACAAATTGACAACATGAGCCGTAATTTCATGGAAAAAAGTCAATAATATATTTAACTACGAAAAGAACAAACATTCATCAAATATATTAACAAAACATTTATAGAATTATTACTGGGCTTACGGCCATATCCCGTTGAAACACCGAAGTTAAGCAACGTTGAGCCTGGTCAGTACCTAGATAGGTGACTACTTGGGAATACCACGAGCTGCAAGCTTGAATGTGCGGGTGGTGTAATGAATAATGAACTAGAAATCGGAGAGCCGAGTTTCAATTCCAGTCGGGTTTGTTATATTCACGTGCAAATAACCTTGAGAAAAGTATGAATCCACCCCTTTTCCACCAGTTATGAGTTAATTAGTAGGACTTGTATTAGTAAAATTATTATTATCTCAAAAGAATTCTTACAGTCTAAAAATATTTTCTGGCTTTAAATAACCTGTAAAAGTTTGATAAACCATAAGAAACAAAGCAATCTAGAAAAAATAATTATTATTGTAACGTTAATGAAGATGCTAGGGAAGAAAGAATATTTCTTGTTTACATTTCCCTATTCTACGTATTATTTTATCAAGTTAAGTCACGAACGGATAAGAATAGCCGAAAGAAAGGGTTAATAAACATGCATTATTCTCAAAGAGATTTTATATACCGCTATGTTATACAATAAATTATATACAAATATATAAATATTTGTCACTAATTTTTGCCACACAGAGAAATTGTAAGATATGAATAAAACAAGCAAAGTGGACAGCAAGACGCGAGAGTGTTTTACTTGTAAAATTTCCCGAAGAGAAAACGGCCATATTCTACGAACTTCGAAGTATCAGGTGATCTCTTCTGTTCTCCCTACTGTTGTGGGATTGAGATGACGCTTAACGCCTTAGCAGTCTATCATCAGCCACTGGCGTGAGCATACATGTCTTGCCTCCTACGCGTGCTAAATAGCAACTAAAATTTTGTCACGCCCACCAACTGATGTTACTTACCAGCCGTCACCTCACTCTCGTGGCATCGTTTTAACCAAAGGAAGATAATCGACCATCGCATCCACACACAGCGTTTTTTTGTTTTGTTTTGTTTTTGGCTTAGCGATAAAGGAGAAGGAAGGACTATCAAGTTGTTGTAGATAATCTTTCTTTGCAAACGATTTATTACGTAAGAAATATTTGAATAAGTAAAATAAAAATTTCACGCAATAATAATAATAATAATGTAATTTTAGTGAATAATATTATGGAGATGTGCTAAGGAGGAGGCGTGAGCGTATGGGGTAAAATCACAGCTGACGGTAGGGAGCATTGGGGATAAGATTAGCTTATCTGTGGCCTCAACTTTGCATATAAGACCCAGGGCAATATTTTAATCCTTTTTGTGGGAGGAATGCATATTATATACCATCAAAATGTGTCGCATTTTTATCAATTGATAGATTACTTATTTGTGTAGTTAGTTTATACCATAATGGCAACAAGACACACAGACGATTGACTGTAGAATATATTTTTAGTAGCAAAAGCGGCTGACTGGCGTCTTTAAGAATTCATATTTTCAAAAAGAAAACCTATCTTCTCTTTCGCTTTTGCGTTGTGTCACACCTCCTAACGTAGAAGCAATTTTCTCCAGCCAGTTAGCATGTAGATATTTGGACTCGGACTAATGAATGGTACTCCTATAAAAAAAATTATAAGAAAGAAATACGACCCTTTGTTCTTTTCCATTACATAGAGCGAAGGCCTTTCCACCAATGAGGTGTTTAGATCGGATTTGATAAGCCTTGTTTCTAAGCCTGATTAAAGAGTGGACAACACAAATTATTCTCAAGATTATTTTCAACCAATCAGAAGAACAGAATTTGAAACCTGTGAAATTTTGAAAGGCTTTGTGACCCTACCCGCTTGAACATAAGAGAACGGTCATCGGACTTAAATTACTATTCATTTTCGTCCTGACTTTAAGTCGATATCTATGATAGTGGATAAGCATGCAGTAGATAAATACCAACACGGGACTCGGTACCAATAAGGACAAAGTATTTTTTAATTATGACTGAATTTACACACACACTATTTCCTATGTTTATTTTCGCTAGAAACAAAGAAAACAGTACTGGACTGTTATATAATATCAGTCTTTCTATATGGCAGCGAATGCTGGACAATCTCCTCAAAGATGAAGAATAGACGTGAAGCAACAGAAATATGGTTCCACAGAAATATGTTGAGGATAGCATGGACTGAGCAACAACGAGGTTTTGGAGAAAATGGAAACAATGAAACATACTTAAAATCAGGAAGAGACAGTTGAAATTTCTGGGGTATGTAATGAGGAAGGAGGGCTGGTAAAATCTGATACTCACAAGACAGAGAGAGGAAAAGAGAGACAGAGGAAAGCTATATTTGATGATCTTGAGTAAATGGATGGTAGAACATGGTTTGAGAGAAATAACAAAAAGACAAAATTTATTAAGAGCTACAAGGGACAGGAAGATGTGGAGGGTCATGATCGCCTACATCCAGAAGGGACACGACATATAAAAGAAAAGCTCATTAGTTTATTTTCTCTTTTTGTGAATACATAATTAGTGACATAAAAATACAAGAAAATATCTTTGTGTTGAAATTCCTTCCTTCCACTCATTCTACTTTCATTCCATTTCCTTTTACCTCTGCAAAAAAATGGCAACCCAGAATTTACATTTGATAATTTTGTTTGCCACTGCTTTTAGTTAATTAAGCTCGAAGCAATAAATGCAACACGATCTATTCGGATGTCAACATGACTAATTTTTCAACCTTTTTCCACACTTACCAGGTTTTCCTGTGTTAGTATTTTATTGGTTTTAACCTGAAGATCATTTGTCTTATTTTTACTTTCTGTTTTTGTTTACCCAACGTTATATTTATCAACATTACATTTTCCACTCTCGTTAATTTGTTATCAACTGATAGTTTAGAAGATGTCAAATAGTTTAGATGTACTTGTCAAAAGCTACGATAGATTATTTTTATTGGATATTTATAAACAATGACTTCATAATCTCCGAGTATTTTAGTCTTAAATCCAGATTGATTCTTTCTGTTATCTTTCTTGATACTGATCAAACATTTCGATATTTGCGTTTGTTTGTTCATGTCTGTCTCTTTTGGAATTTGTCTTGTTTTCTATTGTTTTTGTATTCATATATATATATATATATATATATATATATAGAGAGAGAGAGAGAGAGTCAGAGAGAGAGAAAGAGAGACTCGATAAATTACTTAATTATGATTATCGCAAATCCTCCTAATTTCTATCACTTGTATATCCTTGCTTGAACCGGCTCTGATGCTCCAGTTGGAGAGGCTTGGTAATAGTACTCATGGCTCGTGGGTTTACAGTCTTTAGACAAGTTCCACCACGGAATATGGGATCGAGCGGCGCTATATCGAGTATAATTCGTTACCTCTTCGACAGACATGTACGTTGGTACAGTTGGTATGACGTTTGTCTCATATCGTAATTCTCGGTAGTAGATGCGCCCTGCTGATGTGTCTCAATATATATCCAGGTAAGAAGAGAACGATTAGAGTACAATTCCAACGTTTGTAACATTTTAATTTAAATCCAAAGTAGAGTAATATTCTTTATTTTAGGATATTACATCGAAAACGTGTCAAAATCGCTACACAGTTGCAGCATACAAAGCATCTCATTAGGTGAGTGAACGATTCAATCAGATTTAAAAGAAAAATACAGCCTCTTTTTGTAAAAAAAAGAAATGTGTAGGGAGGTCGGTAATTTACAATCGCCTGATGAGATTTGTATACGCATCTAACACGACTGCAATTGTGTAGCGATTTTGACATGTTTTCGATGTAGTATCCTAAAATAAAGTATATATATTTCTGAGATTAGGTATTGTATCTATTTACACTACATTCTTCATGTGTTATACGTTGGTTGAAGTAATCCAGTGAATTTACCCAATTCAATACCTGGCCACAGCAGGGCTGAACAAAACCTTGGAGAGTTACTAAAGAGAAATAACAGAAACTGTGATATCCAGAAAAGGCATGGCACGTGGAACTAGAACAATCTAACCCGGTAGACGAAATAAAGTGTTCGGTTCGAAATTCCCAACGTATATCACCTGAAGAAGCCGGAGCGTACAACTGATGAAACGTCGTGAATAGGACAATAAAGATTAGGACAACAGTCCAAATAATGTAAATATATATATATATATATATATATATATATATATATATATATATATATATATATATATATATATATTAAACAATATATGTAATATGTATATTAAGGTTGTATATAGTCTGAGTTGGTAGAAGACACAAGTCCCACTGTCTATAAAATGTTTCTGTTGCAGGCGTTTCAAATAACCTTTGACAACTAAGTCCAGCTTGGAGCTGGACAGTTGTCAAAGTCCAGAATGGTGAAAGTCAAACCACTGGCGACTCATATACAGCTGTTTCGGGATGCACCTCGTCAACTCGAGAAGTCATATCCAAATACGGAAAAGGCTATGGAAGTAAATCCATACAGAAAATCAGGAGTGGAGTCCCGAAGCCGGTTGACTATCAACATTGACAAACTTCCGGCAATCCTGTAGCTAAGCCGGTCCTAATTGTAATGCCCTGTATTCTTTTTGGTCCTGTCGGTATGACTGAATGGGATTCTGTTTAATCTGGTCAGCGCACAGGCGGCATATATCATCTCAAAAGTCTGCAACCTGGAGAGGACACGTCAGTCTCAACACCAAAGGTCTGAATTTTCACAAAACAGGGCGCAAACTGTTATATACATACCTTATTTCCAACACAAATTACGCACCCTACATAGATACCATATTAAAATACGCCCAAACTTTATTTTCGATCCAATAACAGACAATATTACAAACATTCCAAAAATCGCCACAAACAACACACTGTTTAAATCAAAACGTCAATTGGTTAGAAATTAACATGACCATATGAAAAATTTGACCAATCAGAGAAAACTAAAACACTATTTTTCTCGAGCCTACTTTCAGGGAACACACAGATTTAGATTTTAAAAATGCATAGATACGGCTGTCTTGATGTGAAGAGAAGGCGTGGTTTTTCCTCTTTCCTACCCCACACCAGCTCATGCTGAAAGAAACGTGTTTAGCGACTTTAAATGAATCAGCTACAACAATAAAGACAGTGGATTTTTTTTTCGC